TATCTATCTATCTATCTATCTATCTATCTATCTATCTATCTATCTATCTATTTATTTGTTTGAACACCCCAAGAGCAAGCTCCATTAGGGGACAATACACATAAATTGATGTGGCAGGCAATATGAAATATGAAATACATGATGATATGGTTGAAGACCTAGAAAACCTCCGGTTATGGTTTCATAATAATAAGCTAAGTTTAAATCTTAGTAAAACAAACTATGTAATTTTTAAGAGAGCACTCTGGATAATACCACAGAAAAATATAGAAATCAATGGACCAGAAATTAAAAGGGTCTCCTCTGTTAAGTCCCTAGGACTGACTATAGATGAACATATGAACTGGAATGAGCATACAAACAAAATGCTACCGAAATTAAAAGCTACAGCAAGACTAGTATATCGTCTCAGAAAGATTTTGAGTACTGATCAATTAAAGCAACTCTATTATGCATACTTTCACTCTCATATGAGCTACTTGAGCTCATTCTGGGGTGTGGCAAACAGCAACAATATGAAAAAAATCTCAGTTCTGCAGAATGGCATTTTAAAAACAATTATAGGAGTAAACAGAAGATTTAGTACAAAATTACTATACTCCAAGATCAATGTCATTCCCCTAGAAGTCCTGATAAAAGTTACTCTGTCCACAATAATCTTCAATCATTTAACTAATAGGAAGCGCCTAAATACTGAACTTCGAACGAATAGCCAAGTGCACTCCTATAGTACAAGAACTGCTACGAATCTTGCGATACCACCTATCTTAACATCCCACTATGGAGTCAAGAGTGTCCTCTACAATGCAATTTCATTGTATAACCTGCTTCCTGAGATTATTAGAATGGCAAGCACTACGGCTAGTTTCAAAAAACAAACTAAGGAATTCTTTTTGCAAATGTACTTCAGTAATATCTATAATGCTTAACTAATCTGTCTCTCCCTTACCTCTCTTTTCCAATTGTAAAAAAACAAAAAAAAAACAAAAAATCGAAATCTATATGTCAAACTAATTTTTATTTAGATATTAATCTCCTTATTTAATTTTGCAACATGCACCATATGTATTCTGTCACTCACTATTACCTTATTAT